TTTCTCTTACCATCTGACACTTGTTAGATCCAACCTCTTGCTTTAATGTGAAGTTTTGCTATGAACACCTGAAAAGGTTTATAAAGATTTATCTCAGCAGATCAGAGTTCTGTGGTCATTTTGTTTTAGTTTTATTTTGAAGGCTTCTTAATTAAAAACAAAATAGAAGCTTTGTTTTGTTTAGCTTCTATTAATAGAATTTAATTTGGCTTTTGGAGAATTTCCTCTATGTTGTATCCTATTAATTCCCCTGCAAAAAGGAAGGATGAGAAAATATGGTTAGAAGAAAGAAGGAATGAAGCAGAAAACTTGAGAACCAACTCAAAAATCAAACTTTCAGTTCTAATTGAAATTAAATGAAAATGCACAGCTGACCAGGTACAACAAATGTGCCTGTTAAAAAACAAATTTTGCTGTGAATTTTAATGTCCTTCAGACATGATACAGGAATCTTATCTCTGCAAACTGAGTCTTTAACATGGGTGGATGTGACTTCAGTGTGCATTTACCTTCCCTGGAGCTTCTGGTAGATCAGTTACTGTGTGGGAATTGCCTGCAGTATACATTACACTTACACTAAACAGGAGTCTGTACCTCAGCCTTGCAGAAATGTAATTATTAACTCTTTCCTCTCTGTTTTACAGGCAGAGCAATATCAAAAGAAGAATCGGAAGATGCTCGTTATTTTAATTTTGTTTGTTATAGTAATTGTCCTTATTGTTGTTCTTATTGGTGTAAAGTCACACTAGGTTTCGCTTCATTTTCTCATTTTTGGAGTTTCTGTGAACTTTTTTCCCAATGTGAATGGATGGACCTGCACTCCAGAAAGCTGCCTTTGAATGTACGAGCCCTTGTGGTGCCACGTCTGTGCAATGTTCCTGTAGAATTCTTCAAAGTACAAGTTTGGTGGTCTGTGAGGTGTTTGTAAGGGTTACATGGAAAATGTCAGGAAATTTGATGCTCCCACACAAAAAAATTCGGTGCTCTATGCAGAGGTATTTTGAAACACAGTACTTAAGAATAATTAAACATTGAAGTTTACCAGTGACTACAGTAATTAGTGTGTTACTGTGAACAAAAATGTGTTGTCTTCTATATTCTTATGTCATAATTGTTACAGACTTCAAATTTAAACCATGTTACTGATTCAATAGGACTGGATGTCAAAAATTGATCTTAATGGAAAATTTGTTGAGACAGAAAATTGTTTGATTGAATGCCCATTCTTCCAGACTCAAAAACTCCAAAGAACTGGATAGGCAGCTAAAAAGGAAAGCTTTTAGCAATCAGAACATAATCCAACCCCTGTGATCTTAATTTAGATACTGCACCATTACTAAGAATCAGTGGTACTTGATCTTGTAAATAACAAGATGTAATCACTGGCATAATTTAACATGCTTAGTTAATTAAAAAATTTTCTGAGCCTGAGTAATCATGGGAATGATTTTCCTTCATTGGGATGATCATATTTTTTTTCATGCATTATTTTTTTTTAGTTAAAGTACAAACATTACATTAAAGCAGGGTAGTTAAGCTGAAAAAATGGAGTAGAAACCCAAAAAGAGAATCTCTCTGGCCTGCTGCAGTGGGTCTTGGATGTTTCAAACTGTAGCTGCTGTATAAATTGTTTATTTTACAATGCATTTGTCCATATGGGTTATGTTTTTGTATAAGAAGTGGCTTCACTACAGTAGATATTACATCCATTTTCCCTGACAGAAAATTCTCTTTCAAATGTCTTCCTGGGAGAGGACATGTTTGTGGTCTTTTACTGACCATGAGAGGTGTCATGCAAGTGACATGTTACAAGGCCTTCAGTGGAGAGTTTGGGGTTTTCTCTGCTTTTTTCAGTGGAGAACTTTGCTGCAGGCCATACAACAGAAATTAAGGCACCATAGAAGTAATAGAATACTCTTAATTTAATTCAGGCCTGAAGTGATGTGCAATTGTAGAGGCCTTGTCTTAATATTTTTAATATTGCTTTTTATTTTTTTTAAATATGTTTGGTTGTTTTTTTATTTCCCCAAAGGGACTGTAACTTCCTTCATTTTCTGGCTGATCCAAGTGCTCCCCACAGACCTGCAGAGCTGCTCTGCTCAAGCCCCAGCAGTGCAGGTTCACAACACTATGTGATACTGAAGTTGCAACTCTTGCCTGCCCTGAGTTCTTTGTGCTAAAGAGGACTTGAGACATGGCTTTAAACTGACCATTTTCAGGGATGGACCTGAAAGCAAAGACTGCAAAAACATGAAAGCCTTGGCTTTTTTGTGGGGCTGATGGAAAACTTTGTACCACTCTTGTTACCTCTAGAGAAAGGGGATGTTGAACCACCAAAACTGCCAGTTCAAACTCTTCATGGATTTCATGAAGTAAATGGGTGAAAGGAAGAATGAGGCTTGTGTTGGGTGTGCAGCTCCCCTGTTCTGGTGATAGATCTTTCAATGATCGTGAGTGAAACTACTGTCCCTCGTGCTGGCTGCATCACTTGGTGTGAGGCAGCAAATGGCTATAATTTAATATACTGTATTTGCAACTTTCTCTCTAACTGAGATCGTGTTATTTATTTCTGTCTTGACCGGTGCTTTTGACATTTTATCATGGCAGATGGTTTCAAAGAAGTAATAAAACACTTCCAACCTAATTGGGCAATTATTTTTTTTTTTATTTAAATTATAAACTGAAACATACTTTTGTGATGTTAACATGTTTCTGTTCTTCATAATAAATGAAAGTGGCAGTGATGTGAAATATCTTTTTTTTAAAAAAGTAACTTTCTGTAGCACAATGTCATTTGCATTGTCAAGAGTTATTTCCCATGAGTTATGCCCGCTGTCTACCTATTTTCTACCCAAATTCTGTATGAGGAAATGCATTTTTGATGAGGTTAAATTTAGATGTCAAGTGTTCTATGTAACTTGAGCTGGAATTTATTGAAGCTTGATTCTATTAAGGAAGGACAGGCTGGATTCTGTATAATTGCTGGTGTGTGGCTTGTCCTGAGTCAGTGTGATTAACTGTCAGCAGGTCAGCCCAACCTGATGCTGTGCTCTGTGCGAGTCTCCCCACAAAGGGATCTGTCTGTGCCTTTGGCAGTGAAAGCCCAGAAAAGCCACAGCAGCTGCTGCTCCTCAGGTGTTCAGGAGCTGCCTGAGCCTCCTGCCCTCGCTTCTGCCCAGCCCTGGCAATCTCTGTGTGCTGCTGCAGCCAGAGCTGGGACCCTCTCTCAGCCTGGGGCTGCTTCATGGGTGCTGGATTCTTCTCAGCCTGGTTGGAAGCTCAGATTCCTTACAAAACAACAGTATTGCTAAAGCAACTCCCAAGGATTTGTGTCCTCACCTGGTGGGAATGGCCTGTAAGCTGTTGCTAGTACACAGTTTCTCCATTAAAATGCATGTGAGTGTGCAAAAAATGAGCTGCAACTTGGTAACAGAAATTAATTACATGCCAAAAGGACAGTATTGAAAGCACTGTAATAGCCAATTTATTTTTACTGCAAGTTTTCTCTAGAAACTGAAAAGTAATGTGGAAGAATTGGTTTTTCTCTTGCTGATTTTTGGAATGTGCTAAAAATTGGATATTATCCTTAATGCTGTGTTCACTGCCTAGATTGCATTGATTTAAGGTTTGCTTTTATGAACCACAACACAAAGGAGTCTTAACTCTTGCTTAGCTGTTTGGAAACTGCTTTTGGTACAGCCTTGCAAAACTTAAGTTCTTAGATAGGTTACAATGAAACTGATTTTGTTAGAAAAAAATATGCTTACTATTTAAAAAACCCAAACCAAACAGCCACCTTAAACAAAACTCATTAAAACAGCGAATTCATTATAATTTTGCATATTGATTACAATGGATCATATAAGTTATATTTTACTGGCTTAATTCCATGAATACTTGTAGAGGATCAATAACTGGAAGACAGGTCCTTGCTGCAGCTTCTGCTGAAGCTCAGACAAATAAAAGTAGTTGCAGCTGCTGGTGGTGGGACGTTCACAGGGAGTTTCTGTAGATAAAATTGATTTCCTCAGTCCATTCCCTTCACGAGGACCCTCCTCTGCTGCTCTTAACTGCAACAAAGGATTGTGGGTTAGGTGAGTGTTTCCTATGTTTAATTTGCTTTTCAGATGCTGTGGATTCAGGGAATGGGTTGGTTTTGGACTCTCAGAGCAGCAGAACAGCAGAGTTTGAGCTCAATGATTGGGAGCTTACTGCCTGGAGGAATCTTTGGAATGTCTCAATCTGAAGTAATTGCTGTGTGTCCTCTCACTCCCACGCTGATCTTATGTGTTGGCACACCAGTGGACCCTGAGCAATGTATTTTCTGTGGCTCGGGGAAGAGACTGGTTAAAGCTGGAGTCTGTGTATTGAGTTACTCTCCCATCTGTGAGGATGCACCACCGACCTCTGCAACAGATGTTCCTACAACTTTTATTTTCAATAAAGTTTCTGCAATGTCCCTTCAAAGGCCTTACTCTAGGGAATTTTTTCTTCTGGAATTCAGCCTGGGTTTGGGGTTTTTTTGTTTTTCTTTTAGGTGTATTTCCATTATATGCATCAGAATTCACTTTTCCCGCGTAGGTGGAAGATTGCACAGACCTTTCCCAGCTTTCCTGGCTGCAGATCAATGAGCATCGGCTTCCCCATGGAACGGTCAGAGCACCAAACCTGTCTGAGCCCCAGGAGCGTTCGGACCTCGCTCCCAGGGACAGGCTGGGACTGTCGGGGTGTCTGTGCAGGGGAGGAGCTGGAATCGATGATCTCTGTCCTTCCCAATCAGCATATTCTGTAACCAAATATTAATAGGAGGCGCTTGGCAACTACTAAAAGATCAGAATAATCATTTTATTCTACTCCAACCCACCATGTACTGTGGAAAGGCACTCGGAAAGCCCTGTTGGCTCAGCGGTGTGCCCGGAACCTGCCCGGGCCGTGCCCGGCGCTGCCGCGACACCGGCGCGTCCCCGCCCCGCGGAGCCGGGGCCGGGCCCGGGGCGGGGCGGCGCGGCCGGGCCGGGCAGGAAGATGGCGAACGTGCAGCTGGAGTTCCAGGCCAGCGCGGGCGAGGCGGACCCGCAGAGCCGCCCGCTGCTCGTGCTGGGGCAGCTGCACAACCTGCACCGCCTGCCCTGGGCGCAGCTGCGGGGGAAGCTGCAGCCGCGGGTCACCGAGGAGGTGAGGCCGCGCCGCGGGTCCGCGCCCCCTCAGAACCCGGCAGCGCCCGCGGGGCTCCCGCGCCGCGTGTCCGCCCGGCCCAGCGGCCTCGCGGGGGCTGCGCGGCCCCGGCCCCGAGCGCCGCTGTGCCCCGGGCACCCCCCGGGCCGGGCCGGGCCGAGCCTGTTGCTGCGGCGGGGCCGCCCGGGCAGCCGCTCCCGCAGCCCTTGTGCCCACCCCGGCGGGGAAAGGCGCTGTGCCCTCTCTGAGGGATCAGGGGGCGGCTGCAGTGAGCGCTGGGAGCCCCCTCCCCGCCCGCCGCCACTGCGGTGGGAGTGCGGACCTGTTTGTTTAGTGGCGGTGATGGCTTATGGTAGAATGATAAACGTTTTGCATTGCGGCTTTTAGGTCGCTAGATGTTTGGCAGGGGTTTTTATACAGGGCTCCCCAGTGTCTTAAGACAATATTTACCCTTCTTGGTTTTATTTGTTTTTAATTAAATTGCTATGTGAAATAATAATTCGGAGCTAGTAAATCATTCCTCGTATTTATCACTAGGAAAACTGTCTCAAGTTAAGAAAGCTCTGAACCAGCCTGTGCACTAAACAGTGTGGTTTCAGATTGTAATTCATACGGCTTAAAGCAGATGCTTGTAATGGAAAGTACGTTTATATTTCCTGGTTAATGAACAGGTTTGTCAAATTTCCTGTTTCTCTTCACTCCAGAGCTTGTTGTGCACAATTTCTTTGTTTCCAGCACCTAAACCCCTGTCATTAAAAAGTGCCTAAATCCAGCAGGAGTGAGGTGGGAAGGAAAGTCTGGCTCAGTTCTTTGTCTCTAAATGCTTCTTTTCTCCCCAGATCTGGCAGTCTGCCCTGAGCACGCTGAACCCCAACCCCACGGACAGCTGTCCCCTGTACCTGAACTATGCCACGGTGGCCGCGCTGCCGTCCCGGGTCAGCCGGCACAACAGCCCGTCCGCCGCGCAGTTCGTCACCCGCCTGGTCAGGAACTGCCTGCCCGGCGGCGTCCACAGATGCATTGTTGTAAGTGCCTCTTGAAATGCTGCTGGTGAAACGTCTGGCGAGTGGTTTCTCGACTTTTCCGGGTTGTAGCTGTCTCCAAGGAGACTGGAGGTTGACAAGTTTGACTGATATAATTGCACTGACATGAGTGGTTTTGCACTGGCATGTAGGCAAGACCTGACTGTAATGGCTTGTGCATGCTCAAGCACATTAGGAGGAGGAAATTAAGGCTGGATTTGTATGGAACATCTTCAGCCAGGAATGCCCATGCAAAATGAACTATTAGTGGCTTTTTTCAAGCTAGGATTTGGGATGTCAGCACATGCTTCAGGAGTGGAGGGTGTTATGTCTGTATCACAGAACCCATGAGAGGTGCCTTGCTTGTGTTGTTCAGTGAGTTTCAAAAGTCTTGATCCAAATAATGCTCCAATGTGAGTCCTTTGCCCCCTCTAGCTCTTGGACTTCTTTGGTCATCTTCTATGCAAGCCCGATGAATTTATTTGTTTCTGTGGGTTCTGCAATTAATATCAGATTTGTGAGTTGTTGAAGACTCATACAGTCAGTGTCAATGACAAAATTTAGTAGTACCCTTCACTTGGAAAACTTATTTGGAAGAGTAATAACTCTACGTAACTTTTACCCTTTGAAAATGTTTAATTGAAGCTGCTTTCCATTGGTAATTTCTATAATGAACTTCTGAAAAATAATCTACCGGTTAATAAACTTCTGGGTTAATACTGGCCACATTCTCATACAATTTCTGCCTTCACATTCTCATATAATTACTGTCACTTTCACTTTTGTTTTGAGCACATTTTGGTGATTCCTGTGCCGTTTTTGGTCCTGATCTGTAGGCTAACCTGTGTTAATTGCACTGGTATAATTACAGCAGTCCAGCTCCCTTAGAAGGATGAACTAATTGCAGCAGTGTAACTCATTCCATACGGAAAATGAACTGGACCAGTTCACTGGGTGGCTTTCACACTGCCTCTGTCCATGCAGAACAGAGAATGAGCTTCTCTTGGGCAGTGTTATTTCCCACCCAGCTCCTTTTCCCCTCTTCCCCAGTAAGAGCCCAGATCCTGTCAGTGCAGCCTTGGTGACGTGTTTGCTGCTGTTGCAGATGGTGTGTGAGCGCTCCGAGGTCTTCGCCTCCGCCTGTGCCCTGGCCAGGGCCTTCCCCCTGTTCACACATCGCTCCAGCGCCTCCAGACGCACAGAGAAGAAAACTGTGACCGTGGAATTCTTCCTGGTTGGCCAAAACAACGGACCAATGGAGGTGACAACACTCAAAGTAAGATTTTGGGGGTTTTCCGTCACCTTTTCCTTCAGTTTGTTGCATGTGCAAGCACATCTGTCTCCAGCTGCCTCTGGATAGGTGTTGTACAATTATCTTAGCTCAGGGTTCCTTGGAGCTGATCAGTTCACAGCATCTATGAGTGGAAATACTGAACAGATTATTGCAGCAGATGCTGAGGATGTTACTCAGAATTTACATTTCAGGGTGGAAATCACCAAACAAACAGCACAGAGAAAATGTCTCCTCTCTCAAGTGTATCACAGATGCAGACTCTGGTTTTAGCCTTTAATGTTACACTGCTTTTGGTGTGTGGGCTCTCACTTTTATCTACCCAGGCAAAAGCTGTGTGTGGCTGTGCAGGTGAATATCAGACTGAAGTCACTAAAAGTCACTTAACAAGGATCACACATGGCCTTTGCTATTTCTGTCTGATGTACCTCTTTGGCTGAGTTTTTCTGGCAAAACTGTGGCCAGAAACAAGACCCTAAGAAACAAAACAGCTTGGAGATGAGCTGTACATGACAGTGAAATATGTCCAAATCATCTTTCAATGGCAGCAAATCAAAAACTGTTTCCCTTGTTTGACTGTTACAGAGAGGAAATTCCACATCAGGTAACTGTTGGCATGCCAGGTCATTCCTCTTCGAGATCCATAAACTTAAAAGCTCTTCCAAGGTTTGCAGTTAATCTTTAGGGAACTCCCTGTTCAGTGCTCCAGGTTCTGTGCTTTGGTACAGATGGATACTTCCTTAGCTGATCAGTCAGTGAGGTTACAGAAATCCCTTAAAAGTTTTGGCAATGGATTTGACAAAGGGTATGGTGTTGCTGCATTTGAAATTCACAGAATTACAGCTTTAGGGGTTTGGTTTTTTTCAGTGTCTTTTCCTCTGTGCTTGGTCTTTACTCTGTGAACTGATCTGGCCCCAGAAAATGGTGCCAGCCCAGTTTTCAGCAAGGTGGCAGAGACAGGCGTGCTGAGAGTACAACTCTTGATCACTCCATTTTTCCATGCCCCAAATCAGAAAAAGCATAGCTGGTGTCAAAAATAGTTCCTTCAGATAGGTAGATTCCAAACCACTTGGGTTATTTTTAACTTAAAAACAAAGCTGCAATTATTTCTGCCTCGCATTTTTCCCCTTGATGTCAATGCCAAAAATATTACTGGCTTCCTCTTAGCTGAGTTTGCACCCCTTAAATTCAGCCAGCACCAGACAGCTAATGCAGAGCATGGAAGAGGCATGTGGTAAGACATTTTTATCTAAACCTCTCCCTTGGCATGTTGTATTTTACACCTAGTGCATTGTACAGGGTATTTTATGGTGAGGACTAGCAGGGATTGTCAGAGCTTTGCAAGATTAAAGGCTGCCATTATCCAGGTTCTCTGGAGCACTCTGGAAACACGAACACAGGCACAGCTTATTTCTGGAAGTCATGCTGCTCCCCTGGGGCTTGGCCTTGGGGTTAGAGCACCTCCTTTTACCTGCCTGGTCCTAACAGGGAATCACTCCAGACAGAGCTTGGCTCCTGAGGAGGTCCTTGCCCCTTCAGGGACAGTAAAGCAATCAGAAGTAATTGCAGGGAATTGGGCACCTTTCCAAAGCAAGCCAAGGTTTAGGAGTGTGCTGGGATCCAAATGTATGGAGTCCATAGGCTGGTCTGGCCAAGCCAAACTTCAGATAGCTCAGCATGAGTGAGTGAGTGTCCAACACCTCAGACTCCTGTGAAACCCATCTTGACTCACCCTTGTGCTGTGTGTGGTCCTCAGTGTAGCGTGGCTACTGGAAAGCTTGCACAAAGTTTCCTTCCCCCAGGTCTTGGGGCTTCAAGTTGTTAGTTCATGGGAGTTAAAAGTTGAAGCTTGGTGTCTGGTGTCTTCATGGTCCTTCTGGCAGGAGGATCCTTCTGTAAGGAAACAGCCTTGGCTGTTTGACCATTTTGATTCTGTCCACTCTTGCTTAGATAAGTTTTTGCTCAGTCCAGTGAGGGACAGTCCATTTTGCCACGGAAATCAGGGAACAGTGCATGTTTTACACAAACATGGAATATTCCAGTTTCCCCATGGGTCTGCCATATAAAATGTCTCACACAGTAATCTTTATTTCCTTCAGCCACTCTGCTGCCCTGTACAAACTCTGCAGTTTCCCATGTTGCAGATTACACAATCTCTACAGATTTCCAACCCCAGCAGCCCATAAGCTCATTGTGGCTTCCTGAATTAGCTGCCTCTTATCTTTCTTTCCTCCATTTCACATTGCCTTCTTGATGTCCCTTTGGTAATGGAGAAAGATACTAATTTTGCAACACCAGTTTGCTCAGCAGAAGAATACAGTTGCTTAGAAATTAAAGCACATCGTAAAATAAGCTGGACACATACAAAAATAATGGTCAGCCTGCCTGTGGTGGTGGCAGTTAAGCATTAACATGCTCCAGAGGAGGCACAGATGTGGTGCTGGCTGCAGGGGGATGAATGCCAAGCTGTGCCAAGGCCCAGCCCCTCTCAGTGACCTCCCTTGTGTTTCAGTGCCTGGCCAGTGCCACCGAGGGCGTCCGGCTGGCCGCGCGCATCGTGGACACGCCGTGCAGCGAGATGAACACTGACACCTTCCTGGAGGTTGGTCGTGCCCCTGATGAGGGATAATTGCTAATTGGAGCTCCACACTGCTGTAATCAAGCCCTGCTGTCTCTCAGTGCAAGCTGTGTGTTAGTTGGGGGAAGAAAATCCAGCCGGGGGTGCTCAGGCTCTGCCTTTGGCCTTTCACATTTTCTAGAACTGTGCAGAGTTGGAAGGAAGCAGAGTTTACAGCTTGGAGTAGGGCACTGGGAAGCTGAAAAAATGAGTTCCTCATTTGGTCACAGCACTGGATTCTTGTCTTAACCTGATGGTGACCAGAGTTGCTGAAATATGGGACAGCTGACAGATTTCCAAATGAGTTTTATCATAAGGATCTGGAAAGCTGTTGAGAATGAAATTATTCCTGTCCTATTACATCATGATCCAATAGAGTGAACAGTTGTCCTTTACCTCAGAAGATTTCTTTTACTGGCAGTGTCTAAAGGTCAAATTTATATTTCATGCCATAGTAAGTCAAGGATGTGTCAGTGGAGTTGGGCCATTGGAAAAGCAACACCACTCCCAAAATTGTGGATGTTTGTATGTGTATGCATGCAAAATCACAAAAACCCCTTAACTGGGTACCCATTTGTGTGGAAAGGCACAAATGTGTCCTGATGATTGACTGACAATGTCCTTTTTTCTGAATTATTAAGGAAATAAAAAAAGTTGGCAAGGATCTTGGGATTACTCCTACTATTATCCGAGATGAGGAGCTGAAGGAGAGAGGCTTTGGAGGTACTTATTGAGTTTTATACTTTTTTCTTAGCAGATGACTGGAATGTTTTGCCATTGTGATGTTTGATTTGCACATTTTTTAAACTGTTTTATTGCCTGTAGTATTCCAAAAAAATACCCACAGGGGCTCCCTGCAGTCTTTGTTCCCCACAGGTTAAATTCTCTGTTTTCAGGTATCTATGGAGTTGGAAAGGCAGCTCTGCATCCTCCAGCCCTGGCAGTTCTCAGCCACACTCCAGATGGTGCCACACAGACCATTGCCTGGGTGGGCAAAGGTATTGTGTATGACACTGGAGGACTCAGCATCAAGGGGAAGGTACAGAAACCCTGTTCTGCTGCTGCCTTTGCTTACACTGCTGTTTTCTGATGGAAGCAGTTCAGATAATGTCTGTAGGAAACAAAAGTACCTTTTTATTGAGTTAAATGCTTGCTCTGTTGTCGTCCATATGGATACAAGCTATCAGGGGAGAAGACCAAATGGGATTCAAGGACCGCTGCAGAACAATTCAATAGCAACATGATATTTTGCCCTTTAAATATTGCCTGCTGAAAGGCAGAAAGTAGGAACAAAGATGTTTCATTTCTGGTTTCAAAGATAGAAGCAAAACCCATTGGAGTAGGCCTTAAAAGTGTGAAACTTGTAAACAATGGTTTTTAACAGTTTAGCAGCCCAGGTTTAGTTTTTTTCACTTCCAAGACCACCAATAAGCAGAGGCACATGTTCCTTATTTGTGTTGATGACAGCTGAGCACTGTCAGAACCAGAGTCTCAGAAGCATCAGAAACACTGGTTCTAGCAGGCATTACTGTGAAATTCTCTTTCAAAGACAAAAAAAAATCTGTGGTTCTGTTTAAACAGACTACTATGCCTGGAATGAAGAGAGACTGTGGTGGAGCAGCTGCTATTTTGGGTGCCTTCAAAGCCACTGTAAAGCAAGTAAGTAAAATGTGTTAATTGATATCATGTATCCCAGCCCTGCCAAGGAGCTTGGATGTATTCCCAGAGCCAGAGGCCTGTCTAATCCTGAAGTTCTGACCTGCCACTGCTCTTAGTGAGCTTGAGCCACTCTGCTCTTTCTGCTATTTCAGGAAAATATTTCACATCTTTACTGGGATCTTGAGAATTGTGAGAAATTCCTTGAGTGCTGATTTTTTTATTTTAAGGGTCTTCCTTGAATTTCAGAGTTTGTTCTGCAGACTGAGTGGTTTCTGGTTCCTTGAATCAGGTCTATACTTCAGTTATCCAGTGCTGATTTTGTTTAAGCTGTGGGATTTGGGGCAGCTGTTGTCACCTTAGCAAAGAAGGGGATGAGTGACTCTGGGATGTGAAGTCTTTCTATATTCCAGGTCCTGTGCCAGGTCTAATATTAACCTAGTGGGTAAATAGCAGCTCTGGTGTCATCAGGAGCTGCTTGTTGGTTTGCTTCTGTGGTCAGAAAGTAGTGGGGGAGCTGAGAAGAAGCCAGGTATTGAAATATAAGGAATTACAAATATTCCTTTTGCACTTTAACAATGCAAGCTGGGGAAAAGTGGCTGCTGCCAATAAAACTCTGCCCTCTCCACAAATCCAGTGATTGAGTCTTGCTGACAGAGCAGCTATTGCCTCCAAGGAGTATCCAAAGTTCAAAAAATATTTACTGCTGCAGATTAATGCATAGATCTGATGGATGCTTTGTCCAGGGCTGATCAGTGCCAAATTCCCATTTCTCAATAGTCTAGCTCTGTGCCTTGGCCCTAACAGCATGTTTGATGTGGAAAGATCGTAAACTTCACAGTTATCTGCTGAGAATTAAAATTGAAAACAGATTTGTGAGCTGCATCTCAGGCAGAATAACGACCTTGCACAACCAAATCCTTCAGAAAGTTCTGTCAGAGGTCTGCAAGGGACAGGAGCTGGGATGTAGAGCTTTGGGATAGCCGTGGCTGGGGGACATCCTTTCAGTCCTTATTTCCAGAGCAGTTTTGTGTGTGGTTGCCTGCCCTGAGAGAAGCTCCATTCACAGTCACAGGAGATGTGAGCACCAGTGATCTGTCAGTTCATACACAATTACTGCAGCAGGGAATAAACTGCCAGAGATGTGTTTGGACTGACTGAGCCTGGAGAAATCTTTGTATGGAGAAACAAAGGAATGAACTCAGTGCCTCATTTTACAGTCTCGTGTGAGAAGACCTGTAAATGACATCCCTGCAGAAAATATGTTCAGAGAGGCACTGGGAAGAATTTGTTGTTACTGTTTCAAGTCTTTTTTTTTAAATGCTTTTAAGAATCAAAGAAAGGGGGAACAGGTTTCACTGAGCTGTGCTTTGTCACAGAGACTGAAGTGGGAAATGTGTGTTGGATAGAAAGCTCAGTGGGAAGAGGGGCAGAGGTTATTTTCCATCTTCATAAAATATCTGCCTGCATGCTGTTCAGCAGTTATACAACCTGATTTTAAAAGGCTTTGGATGGCAAAATTAAACAAGTGATTTTTCCTAGAAAGATGCATTTCCTCCATTGTGAGCTTTCCAACACAAGGGAGAAGAGAAAAAGATTGACTTCAATTTTTGATTTCTTTATTGTTATCATGATCCTGCATGTTAGCATAGTGAGTCCTGCTTTTGAGGAGCTGCAGGCAGAATGAGCTTCAGGAAAAGGCAGCTGATACTGGAAATAGATTTTCACTTTTTGACAGTAGATTAACGACATGTCTCTCTTGGAGGAGGAAAATGCAGTGCAGTGCAGTGAGTGAATAGTTGGGTCATGGAGGGAAGGTCCATCTCCAGCAGTGCTGTTTGCCCAGCTGGGCTAGAAACTGGGATTACTTTCTGGCCTGTTATTTTGAAAGGTTTTGATTGATGCCTTTGCCCTTTAGACTTCAGAACATGAGCTGATTCAGCAAGCCCTGATTTCTTCAGCCACAGACTTTTATCAAGAGATTAAGAGCCAGGTTTTCCCCCAGAATTTGGTGTTGTTAAGGAGGAACAATGTTTTCATTTGTTAAATGCTGCTGACTCCCTGTCTGTTCCTAGAATCCCTCCACACAATACAACTGCTGTATAAATAACAGAATCATCATCCATTTTAAAATACCATCCATAAGCACTTGACTTTAAACCAAAATTAAAACATTATGAGATAAACTAGAAAAGAGGAGGCTAAGGAAAAAAAAAAAAAACAAACACAACAAAACAGGTTAAAAATGCTCTGTGCCTCCCAGCAAGAATGGCACATTTTAAAAAACCCAACTGACACCCACCCACCAAAAACCCCACCAGAATTCCTTTGAAAATTGTAGCATTGCTGTCAAGGAGTTTTAACCCCTCACTGATTTCAGTCCCAATAAATCAGCTTGATGTGAATCAAAGCCTTTTCTCCCCTCTGGCTGTTACAGGGGTTTAAGGACAATCTTCATGCTGTTTTTTGTCTGGCTGAGAATGCAGTGGGACCGCGTGCAACGAGACCTGATGACATTCATGTTCTTTACTCTGGAAAGTAAGATTGTGTCTATCCCTTTCTCATAAACAGAACAGAAATCAATCATTTTTCTGTTAATCTGAGAGCCATGCAGATTGGGAAGCTGTCTATAAATCAGCTTCCCTAAATATTGATAATTGCATTTCACACATCCATAGTAGTGAGTTTTAAGTGTGCTTAGATTTCCTGTGGGGTGTGTAGAGATATATCAAAATACATGGATATCATGAGCTGCACTTCCCTTAAAGCACTCAGAATTTAGGTGGTTTTTGTAGTAGAGCCAGTTTTCTTTGTCCATCTGCAGCTGCACTGTGGCAGCAAAGAGAGCCCACCAATGGATCAGAATCTGTTTTAAGAACAGATATTACTTCTTTGGCAGTGATTTGTAGAATCCCAGCCTCACACAGGCCCAACAAGTGAAGCACATGAGGTCTGAGGCTGCTGTCTGAGGTGTTCCAGCCCAGCCAGGTGAGTCCTGACATGGCCTCTCTTCCTCCCAGAACTGTGGAAATCAATAACACTGATGCAGAGGGGCGCCTGATCCTGGCTGATGGAGTCGCTTACGCCTGCAAGGACCTTGGGGCTGACATCATTCTGGATATGGCCACTCTCACTGGAGCTCAGGTACAGCTCTCCACATGCATAACTCAGCTTCTCTTCTCTTCTTCATGCAACTTTTCTGCTTTTGCATACTTAAATTGAAAGTGGTGTTCTGATGACAGCAGCAGCTGATACAAGCAGGCCAGTACTTAATGTTTGCAGTTCAATTTATAATTACCAGAACTGGTTTGTTAGTAGTGATCAGGATTTTCTTGTCTATGAAATGGCTTCCATTTCAAGTCATACACAGAATGGTACACAGCTACAAATTTACACCATTATTTTCTAGCACCTGTTCTGTTTCCTACAAGGTTATATTGATGAGCAGTGGTGGAAGGTGACTTCTTCCTGATTTTGTCCTTTACCTCACCAGGGAATTGCTACAGGAAAATACCATGCTGCTGTCCTTACCAATAATGAAGAGTGGGAAAAGGCTTGTGTTAAAGCTGGCAGGAACTGTGGAGACTTGGTCCATCCTCTGGTGTACTGCCCTGAGCTCCACTTCAGTGAATTTACCTCTGCTGTAGCTGATATGAAGAACTCTGTAGCAGTAAGATCTTCCTCTATTACATAAACATATGTGTTTTGTAGACAGGAGAGGAATTGAGCAGGGCCACTCTGCTGCTGGGGACTAAGTCAAGGATTTACAGTAAAGTTGGTTTGTAACTGTTCTGGGGCCATTCGTTAAGCTTTATATGAAACTTGTGTATCTGTCTTTCCTCTAGGCAGAATGAACCATTTACATTTTCTCTGCTGGTGAGACCAACTCTGTTTTTATCGCCCCCACAGGACAGAGACAACACCCCCAGCTCCTGTGCTGGGCTCTTCATTGCCTCCCACATCGGCTTCGACTGGCCGGGGGTGTGGGTGCACATCGACATCGCTGCTCCCGTGCACGCCGTGAGTGTCCTGCCCTGATGGGGAACAGCTGGGAACAGCTGGGGAACACAGCTGGGAATCACACACACCTGGGGGAACACAGCTGGGGAACACAGCTGGGAATTATACACACCTGGGGGAACACAGCTGGGGAAACACCTGGGGAACACAGCTGGGAACAGCTGGGGAACACAGCTGGGAATCACACACACCTGGGGGAACACAGCTGGGAACAGCTGGGGAACACAGCTGGGAATCAAACACACCTGGGGGAACAGCTGGGAACTGACCTGGGGAACAGAGCTGGGGGAACAGCTGGGGAACACACCTGGGGAACACAGCTGGGAATCAAACACACCTGGGGAAACACAGCTGGGAATCAAACAGACCTAGGGGAATACACCTGGGAAAAGCACCTGGGGAACACAGCTGGGAATCACACCTAGTGGAAGCCCACCTTGGGAAACACAGCTGCTGCTGCCTGTGTTGGGTCCATCCAGCTCAGAGGGACAGAAATAGGTGGAGAAGGGTGCTTTAGAAAAGCACTGGCTCTTCTCTCTTCTGAGTTTCTTGGTTTGGTAGTTTTATCTGTTCGTATTTTTCATTTTGGTTTTAAGATATTTTAACAGCCACTTTAATCAGTGACATCTTTATCATTGTGAGCATTGACAACTTGCCTGGTCTCTGTTCATGGCAGTAATCCCAGCCTTCCATTTTCAACCATGTTGTTTTAAGATGATTGACCAGAATTGATCATCCTTCCAAAAATATGTTCCCTTTGGTGGAACTTGTGTATATTATTTTTTTTCCCTAAAAACCAAGCCAATTCACTCCACTTGCTTCATTTTTTTTTAACCCAGTTTATTCAGCTCATATTCCAAATCCAGGCTCAGGCTGGGTGGGAGATCCCCTGCCCTGAACAATGCTGGCCTCCCTCCACCCACAAGTGAGTGGGAGCTCTGTTCCCATGTGTTGGTTTAATCCAGCTGGGACAGATTCCAGGGGTGGTGAGGATCCAGCAGCACAGACAGGGGCTGGCAGTGGCTGCTGACCACCACAGCTCTCCTTGCATCAGCAGCCAAATTACAGCTAACCCAGCTCCTCCAAGTGTGAACTGTGTGGTTCTGGTTTTGTTCCAGGGTGAACGAGCTACTGGCTATGGCGTGGCTTTGTTGCTGTCCCTGTTTGGAGGGGCCTCTGAGGACCCTCTGCTGAACCTGGTGTCCCCCCTGGGCTGCAATGGGGACTGTCCCCCTGAGGACATGGAGAGGGACTCCAAGAGACGGCGCCTGGTTTGACACAGCCCCGGCCCTGGGCTTACCTCACTTTGCACTGATCTGCTCTCAAGCAATGAAATGTCACACGTCAGAAATTCCCTTTTTTTTTTTTTTTTATTATCATTATAAGATTTATTACTTGTTTCTGATAAAAACAGCCTGATGTATTGTTTAGTTTGATTTTTTTTTAAATTATTGGTGCACACAGTTGCTGAACAATATCAGTGGTGCAGAGTCCAGGCTCAACTAACTGTATCAGGAAGAGGCCACGTCCTCCTCCGAGCTCCTCACAAAACCTAACTAAGTGCATTAATGCATGAGAAGCTCTCTCTAGTCTGAAGAAGCAACTGCAGCTATTGCTTACAAAGCCTTCTGAATTATTATATGTGAGGTTTTATCAGACATTTCTGCAGGCAGGCCCCATTGCATCTCAGAACACAGGACAAGGAAAAAAACTCTGTAGACTTGGCTTATTCAGAGACAGTTTAGCTTAGCAGCAAAGGAGATGTAATGAGAAAAGGCCTATAGGTGCTGTTTCTGCATGTTTTAATGTTCTTCTGACCAGTAAAATCAGCAAGAAGGGTTCAGAACATATGTCTATGTAATTGTTTCACATACAAATTACAGAATGTATTCATGTTAAATGAGGAAAACAATAGAGGGACTGTGATTGAGTAAAATCAGTTTACAAAGCAGAGTGGCTTCTTGCCACTTAATAAATTTATTATTATTAAAGAAGCTTACATATCCCATGTGGTGTTTTGTGGTGTTATTTACATTTCTGAGAACACTGAGTGCTCCAAAACTTTGTGTACAACATCATCACCCTGCTCACATTCCTTTTCCCAGCACTCAGAGCTGAGAGAGGAACAGCCTGCAGCAAGTGCTTTGGGGCAGTCCTGCAGAACTTTCTGATTCCCCTCGTTTGACTCAGTCAGGGTGCTCAGTGTGAGTTTCTGTACAGCCACAGGGACACCCATAGGAAGTGACTGGTTCCAGTTGATGTCATGGCAGTGACAGGGCTGGGAACAGAGCCCCAGTCCTGTCCTGGGCTCCAGAGCAGCCTCTGGAAGCATTTCCAGCATTTCCAGCAGCTCAGTGATGAGAAATCCCCCCTGCGCCCCTTGGCTGCTCTGCAGATCAAGCTGAGCTGTGAGGGATTGTCCCTTCCCCTGCTGGGATCTCTGGGGTTGGGTTTAGCTGAGTTCCAACACTGAGGGACACCAAGAGCCTTTTTGATAAAAGACTTCTTGGAAAGCTTAATGCAGAAGGGAGAAGGAATGTGTTCCATTCTGATTGTGTTCCTGTTTGATAGACAAAATGTGACTTAAAAAAAGACCTGCAAGCCCAGAACTTCCTTACTTGCTGTATTTGTTTCTCCCTTGCTGTTCTGGCTCCCTGGTCCACCGGGGTTTTAAGAAATTTGTATCTGAATGAGTTCTGCCCTTGGTAATTCTTAACACTTGGTGTGAAGCACTCCCTGGTACCAGAAACTGCCATGGGAAAGGTGTTGATGAAATTATTTTTATTACAGACTCAGCATTGAAGCAAATAGCAACATGTTCTAATTTCAGTGCTCAGATCATCTTCAATCTCCATCTATTAGAAGAATTCTTCAAATTAATCAAGTCTCATTTTGAAATGTGGTGTTTTGCCAGATTTTTACATAAAAAGTGGCCTGTGGCTTTGTGGCACAAGGCTCAATTCTGATGTTATTCACTGAATGATAAGAGAAGTTTGATTTTGATGGCTGATTAACATATTCTTCAGTTTTACTGTGTCTCAAGGCATATAATTCTGCTGGATTTAATTTGGAAGGCACTTAATAGAAGCTGTTTTTCAAACTAAGTACCTCATATTAAAGAAATCCATTAAGAAAAACCTGAAAAGCAAATTAAATGTTTGGGAAATCAAAACCTGAAAACCAGCTGAAGTTTGCTAAAGGACAGTGAAATAAATTAAATCAACACCTAATAATAAAAAAGTCTGATGCTTCCTGTGTATCAGAGGTACAAAATAAAAATCAAAGCTCTTTCAAATCTGTAATAAAATCTCTTGCTGTTCCTCATGTACATTGTTATTGCCTTCTGTTTTGATAAAAGGTTTATTCTCCAGAGCACAAGCTTTGGGCCTACCCAAGACAGTGATTTGTGAGCTGTATTTGCCAAATAAATTATTCTCTTTGCTCTGTGTTTGACAGAGCTTGCCCTGGGATTGTTCCCATTAAGCTCACAATGTTTCTTAACCCCTAACGAGTGGAATTTCAGTTCCTTTCATTTCCTCACCTGTTTCTGGGTGCTGGGCACTTTTAACTCCAGGTTTTGCCCTGGGGTATCCTGGTGTTAGACCTGGAAGGAATCTTCAACAGGGGAGATCCCAAAGCTGCCTCACAAATGGCAAATACATAGAAATTGATGTATGTGGTCATTGCCAAAACAAGAATAAGCAGGGCTGGAATTTGTCCCTGCAGCTGCCACCAGTGCCATCCCCTGGGGTGAGCAGGTTCCAGAAGCCCCCCTGACCCTGTGTCCCAGCATCTCTGACACAGAAAATCCCCTGGTGGGGAAGAGCAGCAATTATTTACAGGAAACACTTCCAGGCACCAGGGCTTCGACCTCTGGGTTTAGATCTGCACTTGAAGTGTGTTCTGGCACCACTTCAGCAACTTTAAACAGCAGCACTCCCACGCTGGGCAGGGAGCACCTGCAGAGCTCTGCAGCCCTTCAGAGGCACCTCAGTGCCAGCCTGGGCACCCCAAACCCCGGGGTCCCAGGTGTCCTCCCCTCCTCAGCTGTCTCCTGAGCAGCACAGCATCACAGAGACAGGGAGGTGCCTCCTGGTGGTGTTCTGTGCGTCTCAGAGCTTAAATCTCTGCAGCTGGGAGCCCAGCACATTTAGAAGGAGGTTGGTAACCACGAGCTCCTGCAGCTCTTCAGGAGATCTCCTCATTTCCTCCTTGGGGCTGTGCTGCTGTTCCCAGGCTGGCCCGGTGGGAGCTGGCACAGGCAGCAGGTGAGTGAAGAATTGTCTCTGCCATGGTGCAGAGCATCCCTGTGGGCAGCAGTTTGCTGAAATGTGTGACAGACTTGGGAGCACAAGGCTGATCTGGTTTGCTTGTTGAAGTGAAGTTGGTGCTCAGTCAGGGAAAAACCTGTCAGTGATGTGCTCAGCCTGTAAACCTTACTGCAGGGAGGGCCTTTGCTGCCTTTGCTGTGTTTTGCCTGAGGAAATTTAACCAAGAGTGTGTTTTATCCCATTTTGGCACTGAGAACTGGCAACAGACGTGTCACAGAGTGTTACCTGTAACTCCAGAAAGATGGATTTGGGCACAACAATATTTAGGAATGAACTTGTGCTGGGCAGTTCTGACCCTGGGAGGTGCAGTAGGGGTTTGTGTTCCCTTTGGGTGTGTTGGACCTTACCTGTGGCCTCTGGATTGGAGCTGGGTGTGGAGAGATCAGCACCCAGCCCTGCTGTCCCTGGGGCTGTGAGAGAGGGAGCACAGAAATCCCATTCTGTTTGTGTGTGACAAACTCCTGGACAAAGCAGTTTTTTGGAAAATAGTCTTTGGGACATCAAGATGGGCACCTGTGTTCCAAGGTTGTTCCAGGTGGCTCAGGGCATGTTTTATTTTCTAGTTACCTGTGCACATGAATGTCAGGCCATGTTTTATTTTCTCATTACCTGTGCACATGAATGTCAGGCCATGTTTTATTTTCTAGTTACCTGTGCACATGAATGTCAGGCCATGTTTTATTTTCTCATTACCTGTGCACATGAATGTCAGGGCATGTTTTATTTTCTAGTTACCTGTGCACATGAATGTCAGGGCATGTTTTATTTTCTAGTGACCTGTGCACAAAGCTGCCACTGACCCCATTTGCTGCAGCTGGAACAGCATCCATACAGGCACAGGGCCCTCCTGCATTGCACTGCACTCACCCTGCACAAGGGTGCACAAGGGCTCACCAGGCAATTAAATTGATTTTTCTCCATTTGCATGTGCAAGGGCTGGAATTAGTACATCTCCCTCCTCCGTCCCCATTGTGGTTTGTGTCTTGGAAATTCTGTTGCCTTGGTATGTGATGTCTCCTGGGCTCTGGATGGGAAAGCAATAGTTTTCCAAAACTGCTGTGCAGGGATTTTTATTTTTCCCTTTCATGTTTTCTTTCAAACACTTCTCTTACACAAAACCCACAGAGAGAGTTCCAGGCAGCGTCCACCCATATGAAACCAGACATTTTTTTCCACAACCTTTTTATAGATTTGATAATATTTAACTCGGCATGTATTAAAAATGTATGGAGTACATAAAATTCATTATAAATGTCACCAAACGGGCCAATGGCTTTTTAATATCACTGCCACAAGACTGTATTTTAACCTATTTCCTGTCTGGATCCATTCCAGTGGCAATTCCAGGAGGGGAATATATTTAGTCTATATTTACTTAGTCTGTTTAACTTTCAGTTAGTGTCTTTGGCTGATCCCGTGGCCGTGCTATTTTGGGATGATTTATACAATATTTACATTAAATTCTGCTAATATTTCCTTGCCTCTTGAAGTCGGATTACACTATTTACATCTCAAAGGCCCAAGTTGGAGGAATAAGCAGCTGTTCCAGGCACCAGAGAGAATTTAGTGTAGGGGAGGCTGCCAGCAATGAGACTGTGAGTCTGAAACGCTCGTGGAGGAATTATTTAGGATTGGCCCAGTCCTCCACGAAGGAATCATGGAATGGTTTGGGTTGGAAGGGACTTTAAAGACTGCCTAGCTCCAAACCTGCTGCCTGGGCAGGGACAGCTTCCACCACCCCAGGCTGCTCCCAGCCCTGCCCGGCCTGGCCTGGGCCTCTGCAGGGACGGAGCAGCCTCAGCTCCCCTGGGAAACCAACCCAGGTGTGGGGTGCCTCCCCCTCAGGGAGGAATTTCTTCCAATACCTAAACAGATCTGCCCTTTTTCAGCTTGGAGCCATTTCCCCTTGTCCCCAGTCCCTCTCCAGCTCTCCTGGAACCCTTCAGGCCCTGGAAGGGGCTCTGGGCTCTCTCTGGGGCCGTTTCTTCTCCTGGCTAAGCAACCCCAGCTCTCTCAGCCTGTGCTCACAGGAGAGGAGCTCCAGCCCTCTGAGCATCTCCTCTGGACCTGCTCCACCTTATCCATGTCTGGGGATCAGAGGGAATTCCCTTCAGGCCTGCAGAGGTGGAGCAAAGCCCTCAGCTGAAGGGAATGAATGAAATGTCTCTCTCATTTTGGTCTCTGTGTGCTGTGGCAGGAGGAGCAGGACAATGGTCCTGAGCTGTGTGATTGAGCCTTTTAAAGCTGAGAGAAACCCTCAAATCACAGTTTGGATGCTGAGGTCATATCCCTTAATAAATCCAAATTTTTTTAAAATTTTTTTTAATAACAAAAATTAAGACAAAAATCAATTCAGCATCACTCAACTGCAAACGTGCATCATAGTTGGAAGGGGAAACATTCCTCTCTGCATAAATGGAAATTTACCTTCAGGATTGACCTGTGCAGTAATGAAGCAGCAACTGGATGAGATCAAAGTGCACAGAGCCAACCTCCCTCAATCCCAACAATATTTGGCAGAACAATTGATTCTCCTGCACTGAAGGCACAATGTAATTTAGTGGCCCAGGGAAAAAATCCAAACTGTGAAAATATTTGACAGCTACTGTTCTCTAGAAACCAAATTAGCTGGAATTTTGGTCTATAATTACTCTCAGAGGAATCTACAGATTTTTAA